TTCTAGCAATTTGCCTTAAGGTACGATGCCATGCGCCCCACTAGTTTTATATTTGTTTCATATCAATTATTCATCTTCTTTGTCATCTTTCTATTTCCAGTGGTATATGGGGTGGTTTAACCAACAACTTCGACCCCTACTTGCCGTGTAACTCCCATCACTTGCGTCCCAGGAATCAAAACAACATCAACAATAACAATAATACTACCAGCAATGAGAATAACAACACACCCAATCTCAATCCTGATGAAAATGCCAGTGCTCCGGACAGAGATCAGGTTGTTGATCCAGTTCGAGCTGCAGTCAATGTTGCTGCCTCGATGGCTTCATCAATGGCTTCTAGCATGGCTTCGGCTGCTGCTGCTGCTGCTGTTAATGGAGGTAGTAAAACAAATATGTGTTTTATCTTTTTTGAAGTGATAATTTTTAAGGTTTTTTCCAACAATGAGATTGTGAGAATTGTCTGGCAGTTTTATAGATTGTCTGAAAATGTTACCAATTATTTGAGAATGTTGTAGATGGTCCGAGAGTGTTGTGGATTGTCTGAAAATATTATAGATTATCTGGAAGTGATGTATATGATCTGAAAGTGTTTTAAAATGTCTGAACACATTGTAGGGTTGTCTAAAGATGTCACAAGTTGTCAGAAGACATGGATTGTCTCAGAATATTTTGGATGTCTAAATATATTGCAGCTTGTCTGAATTTGTTACAAATTATTTTAAAATGTTGATTATCTTAAAATGTATTCATAGATTTACTTAAGACGTTGTAGGTTGTCTGAACACGTTGTAGATTGTTTGAAGTCTTTGGTGATTGTCTGAGTGCTCCAAATTATTTAAAAATGCTGTAGATTATCAAAAAATATTGTAGATTTTCTGATGATGTTGCAGGTTGTCTGAAGACGTTGTAGATTGTCTTAAGATGTTGCAGGTTGTCTGAAGATGTTACAAGTTGTCTGAAGACGTTGTATATTGTCTCAAAATGTTGTTGGTTGTCTTAAAATTTTGTTATCTATAGGTTGACTTGCCAGGTTGTCTGATAATGCTCTAGGTTGTCTGAAATCGTTGTAGATTGTCCGAAGTCTTTGGTGATTATCTGAGTGTTACAAATTATTTAAAAATGCTGTAGATCATCAAAAAATGTTGTAGATTATTTGAAAGTATCACATATTATTTTAATATATGGATTATCTTAAAATGTTATCTGTCTGAATACGTTGTAGATTGTCTGAAGACTTCTTTGTTGATTGTCTGAAGACTTCTTTGTTGATTGTCTGAAGACTTCTTTGCAGATTGTCTGAAGGCTTCTTTGCAGATTGTCTGAAGGCTTCTTTGCAGATTGTCTGAAGGCTTCTTTGTAGATTGTCTGAAGGCTTCTTTGTAGATTGTCTGAAGGCTTCTTTGTAGATTGTCTGAAGGCTTCTTTGTAGATTGTCTGAAGGCTTCTTTGTAGATTGTCTGAAGGCTTATTTGTAGATTGTCTGAAGGCTTATTTGTAGATTGTCTGAAGGCTTATTTGTAGATTGTCTGAAGGCTTATTTGTAGATTGTCTGAAGGCTTATTTGTAGATTTTCTGAAGGCTTCTTTGTAGATTGTCTTAAGACTTCTTTGTAGATTGTCTGGGTGTTTATGTAGATTGTCTGAAGACATTGCAGGTTGTCTGAAGGCGCTGTAGATTGTCTGAAATTTTTTTTACAAAGCTGTTTGTCTGAAAATTTTATTATCTATAGGTTTACTTAAGACGTTGCAGGTTGTCTGATAATGTTGTAGATTGTCTGAAGGCTCTGTAGATTGTCTGAAGGCTCTGTAGATTGTCTGAAGACTCTGTAGATTGTCTGAAGGCTCTGTAGATTGTCTGAAGACCTTGCAGACTGTCTGAACACTTTGCAGACTGTCTGAACACCTTGCAGACTGTCTGAACACCTTGCAGACTGTCTGAAGACCTTGCAGACTGTCTGAAGACCTTGCAGACTGTCTGAAGACCTTGCAGACTGTCTGAAGGCTTTGCAGGCTGTCTGATGGCTTTGCAGACTGTCTGAAGACTTTGCAGACTGCCTGAGAACGTTGCAGACTGCCTGAGAACGTTGCAGACTGCCTAAGAACTTTGCACATTCTCCAAGGACGTTTCAGATTGTCTGAAGACTGTATGATTTAAATAATTAAAAAACCATTTGATTTCTATTGAAGGCTGAAGATTTTGCAGATTGTTTGTAGACGTTGCAGTTGTTGTTGACGGTGCTGATTATATTAAATTGTTGTTGATCGTTGAATGCTAAATACATTGTAGATTGTCTGAAGGTAATCCACTGTTACAAATGATTTAAATATGCTGTGGATTATCTTAAAATGTTGTAGATTGTCTGAATGCCTTTTAGGATTATTTGAAAACGTTTCTTTTTACTTTATATTGTTATAAATTGTTTGAAAAAATTGTCTACATAAATGGAATAACTATTGATGCATTTTTTATCTTTAATTATATCACAATTCATGTCATTGCAAAGGTTAGAAAGTTAGATTTGGATTTCTTTATTCGAAAATACATTAGAGATGTGATTAATGGTGAATTCTTAATAAAATATATTTTTACAAGACTTTGCAGACTGTCTAAGGACGTTGCAGATTGTCTGAAGACTTTGTAGTTTGTCTAAGGACGTTGCAGATTGTCTGAAGACTTTGTATGATTTAAATAATTAAAAAACCATTTGATTTCTATTGAAGGCTGAAGACTTTACAGATTGCTTGAAGACGTGGCAGTTGGTGTTGACGGTGCTAATTATCTTAAATTGTTGTTGATCGTTGAATGATAAATACATTGTAGATTGTCTGAAGGTAATCCACTGTTACACATTATTTAAATATGCTGTGGATTATCTTAAAATGTTTCTTTTTGCTTTATATTGTTATAAACTGTCTGAAAAAATGGTCTACATAAATGGAATAACTATTGATGCATTTTTTATCTTTAGTCACATCACAATTCATGTCATTGCAAAGGTTAGAAAGTTAGATTTGGATTTCTTGATTTGAAAATACATTAGAGATGTGATTACTGGTGAATTCTTAATAAAGCATATTTTTAAGAAATGATTCGAATTGACTAAAAATTCAATTTTTGTTTAATTTTTATTTGCATTTTCACATAACAAAGTTACACATTTTTCATGCTGAGGGACTCAATTGACTATTGTTTATTAATTATTGTTGATTTAATTTCAGCCCCTGTGGACTTGTTCCGTAATGTGTTAGCATCTCAGTCTATGATCAATACATTGCAAAATGCAGTTGTGCAAGTCATCGATGGCCAAAATAGCGGAGACCTGCTTCTAGATTTCATCATGGAATTGGTAAGACTGATTGAGTTACAGATTAAAAAAGAAAAGATGATATAATCTATGTTTTTATTACCCAGGTTCATCGTACTCCACTCAATGACTTGTTCTCAATGCTGTCTGGTGGTGACTCTTCGCCATTGAATGAGCTCCGTAATGTAATAAGGAGATTCTTACTTAATCACTTGGCTCCTGGACAAGATAGTCTTAATCAGGATGATTTGCGTGAAGCTTCCAACAGGGCAGCTGAGTGGATGCAAAATCATCTCAGTTCTGTGGTAAGAAAAATAAAAATAAAAATTTGATAAAAATAAATACTTCTATCAAAAATTTTAAATAACAATGCTGGAGTTCCAGCAACTTTCCTTAAGGCGCGATGCCACGCACCACTACTTTCTTCTATCCAATTTCCACTTTTTTCAGAATACAATCCCAACACGTGATGACATAGACTTGCCTGCTACATTGTGTTCAATTGTACGAGCACGTTTACCAGACCTGATAACAGTGGCTATGGACCAGGACAGAAGTGCTGGTGAAAATAACTACGGAAGACGTTTAACTGGAGAACTGAGGCAATTTGTTGAATTAATAGTTGCTGCTGTTATGAACTCTTGTCAAGATGGACAGAGGGGTGCTGAGCAGGCATTCCAACGCTTTGTGGTGTGTGATAATTTGTTTCAACAAAAAAAAAAAACAGAAATGTTATGGCAAGGGCATGTTACACTCCAACTTCCATACATTATGCTACTAAATCATACTGAATACTGTCAAAATCTCATGTATTTGCTGTGCCTTCAGACAGTTTTACACATAAACTGCAATGTCACTTCTATGTTATGAAGCTGAGTCAGAAAGACCCTGTTATCTAACATTTTTTTTGACATTTCTGCAGTTTCTAGGTTAGGTTTTCTATCTGACAACCTGAGAAAAATGCCTGTCTGCACAGCAACCACATGGCTCTTGTCAATATTTAGTATGGAAAGCTCTTCATACCTTGGCCTTGCCATAACATTTTTCTGTTATGCAGCAGAATCGGTCCCTAAATCAAAATAATTTTGTGGTTGCTAATAATGTTGTATGTTGTTTTAGGCCTCCGTTACACGTGGAGCTGATCCAAATCTACTAATGCTTGCTATGTCGTACAGTGTAGCCGAGTATAGGAATTATATGAACACTGTCAATGTCAATCCTGATGTTATTCAGCCGTACATTGTTTATAAGAGTCAACGCAGTTCCAATTGCCAGGTAAATAGAATAATGTAAAGTGGTATCCCGACATACGAGTTTGATTTGTTTCGCAACTACGCTTGTATCTCAAAGCAATGTTACTTACATAAATGCATTAAAATGACATTAATTTGTTCCAGCACCGTGGTTTTTGTAAAGTTTATTTGAAAATAAAAATAAATTTAGTATTAACTTTTAATAGAGTAAGTTACTGTGATTGTCCAAAAATCGAAAATGAAAGTTTATGCATATTTTCACGTTTCAAAGGTTTCTGAACATTTTGTATACCTCAGAAAAAATGGATGTGTGTGTGTGTGTGTGTGTGTGTGTGTGTGTGTGTGTGGATACAATTTTTCGTCCACGTTTTAGGGCATACGAATCAACCGATTTGAATGACTCAAAAAACAATTGTTCCTACTTATGGTGATTAGTTTCTGATAAATATTTTGCAAATTATTGCGTTTCAAAGGTTTCTGAACATTTTGGCATACCTTACTTAGAAAAAATGGATGTATGTGTGTGTGTATGTGTGTGCGTGTATGTATGTATGTTCGGATACAAATTTTAGTCGACGATTTCGGGAACACGGATCAACCGATTTGAATAATTCAAAAAACATTCGATTCGTATTGATAAGTAGACGTGCTGATTAGTTTTTGGCGAAGGCAGGTCTAGCCATTCCGAAGAAACGGAGCAAAAAGTGCCGAAAACGGTAACTCAGTTTTTAAGAGAACGGAGCGTCCGATTTGAATAATTCAAAAAACATTTTATTTGTATTGACTAAATGAAGAACTGTTCAAATTTTTGGAAAGACAGGTCCAACGACTTTGGATATATGGAGGAAAAAGTAAAAAAATGAGCCATTTGGCGGTCAAAAATGAACATTCTACATATGCACATCAAAATATCAGATATTTTATAGAGATTTTAATAATAAGTATTAATTTTGTTTACATTTCTATGGGTTCCGTACCAATGTTTACGCGTTAGACGGCAAAGCGGCGCTTACGCACTTTGATATTTCGTCTTTATGCAGTTAAAGCCGTACGATTGCTTTGAAAAAAAGTTCAGAATTTCCAAAATATTTCAAAATAAATGATTTAAGATGAAATGATTTAATATGGTTCGAAATTCTATTAAAAGTTTCAAATCATTGATCAACTTTTATTGATTATTTTTAATTACTCGAATTTTGAATTACGGTACGGTAAGTTCCAGCAATTTGCCTTAAGGCACGATGCCCTAATTTCCTCAAGACAGAATTCCACTTACAGCTAGTTACTGTCATAAAATAGTCCAAATATTTCTGTCGTAGGAAAATCATCTACAACGTCTTTCTCTTACACGCGAGAGAACTTTTTCACGAATTTTGCTCGTATGTCGAAGCAACGAATCGCCCCTTTGGCGGCTCGTATCTCTAAACACTCGTATGCCCGGTCACTCATAACTTGAGCCACTCTATAACGTTTCTTCTATATCATATTAGGTGCGCTAATCATATTTTCTTTATTTAGTCTATGGATGTCGATGACACGGACAACAATGACCAGCGCACCTCATCTGTGCCTTCAAACCAACCAAGCAGCAGCAGCTCATTATCAGGACTCAGCACCAACACCGAGACCTGCACCCAAAGTAGCAATGCTGGTTCCTTGAATGAAGTTCCTAATAACAATGACAAGAGCGCCAATTCGAATCCTGGTGAAGCCATGAATAATGTGAGACCTGCTCCGCCTCCTCTGCCTGATATAGAATTGGATGAAGACACTGCAGAACCGGTTGCTGCAGAAGTTGTCATTGGAAGTCAACCGTGGCATAATGCATTACCAGCTGTAAGGGGAATGGATAGTTGAATGTTTGATGAATATGTGTAGATGATGATTATTAATTCTATTTTTTAGGACTGGGTTCCAATAATCAGCCGTGATGTGATCAGGCAGCGCAGACAAACTTCACAGTCACCACTCAGTGATGCTTACTTGCAAGGAATGCCATCGAAGCGTAGGAAGTTGATAACATCAGAAAGACCTTCTTTGAATCTGGCACAATCTCTTCAAGGTATGTAAAAATAAATTATTTTTTAAATAGACAAGGAAATGCGTTTACTCTTCCCAAGCTAGGTTTTTTGTTTGGGTATGTCTGGCTCAATACCGCTTGGGTTATAGTACCGACTATGACCTCCGCTTACTTAACTTTGTGGGGGGAGGATCTAGAATGCTACTATTATCAATTGAAATAATCCTACTGAAACCGCCTTTAGGCATTAACTTTGTGGGAGGGAGGATCTAGAATTCTACTCTAGATTATTTTTCTTAAAATGTCCTTTTGGGAAGCTGATGTTGGGTAATAATTTCATGGGGGGAGGATCTAGATTGCTACTATTATCTCTCTTAAAATGTCCCCACGGAAACCGCTATTAGGTATTAACTTTATGGGGGGGATCTAGATTAGAATGTTATGATTGTCTCTTAATTATGTATACTTTCAAGATAGGTTTTTTTAGTAAATGCATTTACACAGCCCAGATTGAGTCTTTTGTCTGAGTATGCTAGGCTCAATACCGCTTGGGTTATAATATTGGCTATAACTTCCGTCTATCTCTTGCCTCCGTTAGGCCTTAACTTCATGGGGGGAGGATCTAGAATGCTATGGTTGTATTTCATAAAATGTCCCCAAGGTATTAACTTCACGGGGTGGGAGGATCTAGAATACTACGATTATCTCTCTTGAAATATCCCCACGGAAACGCCGTTAAGTATTAACTTTATGGTGGGAGGATCTAGAATGCTACGATCATCTCTCTTAAAATATACCCACAGAATCCGCTATTAGGTATTAACTTCATAGGGGGAGGATCTAGAGTGCTACGATTAGCTCTCAAAATATTTTCACAGAAACCGCCGTCAGGTATTAACTTTATAGTGAGAGGATCTAGAATGCTACGATTATCTTTCTTGAAATTTCCCCACCGTTAAGCATTAACTTTGTAGGTGGGGGGGAGTCTAGAATGCTTCGATTCTCTCTTAAAATGTCCCCATCGAAACCGTCGATAGACATTAACTTCATGGAGGGAGGATCTAGAATGCTATGATCATCTCTCTTAAAATATCCCCGCGGAAACCCGCCGTTAGGTAATAACTTTATGGGTGGAGGCTATAGAATGCTACGATTATCCCTCTCAAAATGTTTTCACGGAAACCGTCGTTAGACATTAAGTTTACCGGGGAGGATCTAGAATACTTCGACAATCTCTCTTAAAATGTCTCCATGGAAACTACGGTTAGGTATTAACTTCATGGGGGGAGGATCTAGAATACTTTGATTATCTGTCTTAAAATGTCCTCACGGAAACCGCTGTTAAGTATTAACTTCATGGGGGGAGGATGTGGAATACTACGATTATCTCTCATAAAATGTCCCCACGAAAACCACCTTTAGCTTCATGGGGAGAGGATCTAGAATGCTACGATTATCTCTCTTAAAATGTCCCTAAGGAAACCGCCGTTGGATATTAACTTCATGGGAGGATCTAGAATGCTATGATTATGTCTCTTAAAATGTCCCCATGGGAACTGCCGTTAGGTATTAACTTCATAGGGGGAGGATCTAGAATGCTACGATTATCTCTATAGATGAATGAAAGGTCTCGACGGGCACTATCCAAATATCCAAATATCTTAGTAACAGCATCAACAAACCAATAGGGTTTTACAAAGATAGTTTATTTATATTTTGGTGTAAATTTTTACTATTTTAAAGTATACTAAGTAGCTGTAGAGTGTTACTGTACTAGACAATATTATAGATAATTTAATTTAGCACTAATTTGCCTAATACCTTGTTTACTTTGGACGAACGGTTCAAAACTTAAACGAGATTTAAATATAGGCATGTGGGGTATCAAATGAAAGGTCTGGACGAGCACTATCCAAATATATTTGTAACAGCATCAACAAACTAATAGGGTTCTACAACGATAGTTTATTTGTATTTTGATGTAAATTTTTGTTATTTTAAAGCATACCAAGTAGGTAGAGTCTTCCTGTACTAGACAATATTATAGATAATTTAATTTAGCACAAATTTGCCGAATACTTCACTTACTTTGAACGAACTGTTCAAAAGTTACACTTGATTTAATAAAAAGTCGACCATGGGGGTTGCAGAATTCGGGGTCAGATATGAGTTAAAATGTTTTACTTCAAATATAGGCATGTGGGGTATCAAATGAAAGGTCTCGACGAGCACTATCCAAATATCTTTGTAACAGTATCAACAAACCAAGAAAGTTTATTTATATTTTGATATCAATTTAATTTTGCACAAATTTGCCGAATACTTCATTTACTTTGGACGAACTGTTCAAAAGTTACACGAGATTTATTAAAAAGTAGACCACTGGGTTGCAGACTTCTGGGTCAGATATGAGTTAAAATGTTTTACTTCAAGTATAGGCATGTGGGGTATCAAATGAAAGGTTTCGACGAGCACTATTCAAATATCTTTGTGAAATGGCCCACGGAAACCGCCGTTAGGTATTAACTCCATAGGGGGAGGATCTAGAATGCTATGATTTATATATTCTATGATCTTAAATTTACTTCACTCTTAATTAATGCCACTAAATAGCCTTCGAGGTATGTGTGTATGTATGTGAGCTAATTTTTCGATCCACGTTTTTTCGTAAACGGCTGGACCGATTGTAACTCGATAGGAACTAGCGTTTTTTAGTTTTGCGCGACGATCGGCCAAGCCGTTTCTTTGTAATTAGCAGAAGTGTAAGATTATTTGTCCACGTTTTAGCCCACAATTTTTAGCCGATTTCAAAATTCAAAAATGATGGAAAGATCTTGATTGTGTATCGTCTTGATTAGTTTGTGGTGAATATCTGCCAGGACGTTTCTTCTTAATTAAATTTTGAAAAACATTTTTTGACGATTTTGAAGAAACTTTTACAACGATAGATTTCGTGGTCTGAGATAACATATTAAAATATTGGAGGTCTATGATAAGCGATTGATTTATAAAAATTCATCAAAATTTAGAATTTTAGAAACATCAATACGTTTTGTGTTTTGTAAGTAGCTACTGATTACAGTTGGCGTCCACGCTTAAATAATATTTTTAAAACTAGAAATGAATTATTATGCAAATCTTATTGATTATTCTCAGTTTGAAATATTTGTTTCTCCAGATACCATGAGGCAGACTCTTCAGTCTTCGAATCAGTCATCAACAGCAAGCATTCCAGTAAACGACATAGTTTCTCAATCTGCAGAAGATGCCACACTTTTAGAAGCCTATCGACAACAGATTGCGAGTTGCATAAGATCACGTCTGCAACAGGATCCTGATTTTAATCCCGCTTTATATCCAAATAGCCAGCAAAAATTTAAATAGTCAATAAATTAATGAATACATATTTTATATATAATTGATAGTTTTAAATTATTGATGAAATAGCACGATTTGATTATAAAAAAAGTTCTTTTGGATTTTTTAAAAAAATTGTAAGTATAAATTTTTAACTTTTTTTTGAAGCAAATTTTGTGAAATTTGCTTTGGGTAAAAGTTTGATTGAACTTTTAGACTGACAAAATTATATATTGTTTAGTAATAAATAATAATATGCTTAACTTTCAAGGGCTAGTTAGGATCGTCCGATAGAATTTTGATTAATTTGCTCATCTACAAATGAGGACTTTATTTTTTGGTGATTTAAGTGGTTTAATTTGTGATCCGTTGTTTCAAATATTTTGTACTATAGTTATATAAGCACTCCTATAAATTGTAATATGTAATTGATATATTAATAAAACATAATAATAATTAATGATACTTTTAAATTGAATATTTTAATGCAAATTGGTTTTAGTTTTTGGGAAAGGAATTTCTTTATTATTTAAAATTTTTATATTATTTATTTTTTTTAAATTTACAAGAATTTTTTTAAGAAAATTTATTTTGATTCAGTTATTAATTTTCTTCTTTTATTAATTTGATAAGTAAAATATAGAAATGAAATTTTGGATTAAGAATTCAAAAAATTACTCAGACTGAGTACAGTCCATATATAATCTGGTGCAAATATATTTGCAAGTGCATTTTTTCAATTCTGTGAAAACTATTGAAAAATGCAAAAATGTTGCCAAGCAACACACAGCATAAGTGAAAATGTGGTACAAAGTTATTTGAAAATACGTTTAGATGTTTCTGGAAAATGTGTTAATGTTTCTGAAAACTTTGAGATAAATTGATATAACAAGTTAATTTTGATATAACAAGATATCAAAAATAATTAAAGTTACAGTATTTATATAATGATCCATTTGAAAACATTTAAAATTCAACAAATATTTCGAAAGATCTAGTAATTTGCCCCCCCTTAAGGCATGATTCCAAACACCACTAGTTAATTTCCCATAGGGTAAGTTATAGTAATGGGCCAGAAATCGAAAATGAAATTTTTTGCATATCTTTACGTTTCAGAGGTTTCTGAACATTTTGGAATACCTCAGAAAAAATGGATGTGTGTGTATGTATGGATACAATTTTTCATCGAGGTTTTCGGAAGCACCGGTCAACCGACTTCAATTTTTAAAAAACCATTCGATTTCTATTGGTAGGAAGACGTGCTGATTAGATTTTGACAAAAGTTGACCAGCCGTTTCGGTGATACCTTGCAAAGAGTGCACAAAATAGAAATCGAGTTTTTGAGAGAACGGAGCATCAGATTTGAATGATTCAAAAAATATTTCATTTGTATTAACTTAATGATAAAATTTTGAAAAGGCAGGTCCAGTGGTTTTGGAGATTCAGAAAAAAAAGTTTAAAAAAATACCATTTGGCGGTTGAAATTTAGATATTTTCGACTGTTCGGATCAGCCGACATGTATCAAATTTTAAAAATTGAAAAAAAAAATTTTTCAAAAATTTACTGTTTTCAAAAATTGTATAAGTTTTTAAAATATAGCAGTTTCAAAAAAGCAATTTAGTCTTTTTTATATTTCAATTTTTCAAATACTTTTAAAATTTTTAATAATGCTCAAAAAATGCACCAATCTTAAAATAAATCTAATTTTTAACTTCCCGTAGGGCAAAAAAATCAAAAATGAACATTTTTATATATCTTTACGTTTCAGAGGTTTCTGAACATTTTAAGGTATGTGTGTATATGTGTGTGTGTGCGCTCGGATACAAATTTTCGTCGACGATTTCGGGAACACCGATCAGCCAATTTGAATAATTCAAAAACATTCGATTTCTATTGATATGGAGACGTGCTGATTAGTTTTTGGCATAAGTTGGTCGAGCCGTTACGAAGATACGGGGCAAAAAGTGCAAAAAACGGTAACTCACTTTTTAAGAGAACGGAGCCTCCGATTTTAATAATTCAAAAAACATGTTACTTGTATTGGCAAGATGAAGAATTGATCAAATTTTCATTAAGGCAGGTCTAGCGGTTTCGGAGATCTAATAAAAAAAGCCATTTGGCGGTCAAAAATGATCATTAGACATATGCACATCAAATTATTTGCTATTTTATAGAGATTTTAACAATAAGTATAAATTGTTTACATTCCTATGAGTTCCGTACCAATGTTTATCCGTTAGACGGCAACGCGGCGCTTACGCGCTTTGACATTTCGTCGCTATGCAGTGAAAGCAGTACGATTGCTTTGAATAAAAGTTCAGAATTTCCAAAATATGTCAAAATAAAGAAAACATTTTTTTTCAATAAGTTTTTTTTTTCAAAAAAAGTAATTTTTTGTCAAATCTTTCTCAAAAATCTAATTTTTTCTAAGTAAATTTTTTTCAAAAATGTTAATCGTTTTTAAAAAAATATTAATTTTTGGTACGGGAAATTCCAGCAATTTGCCTTAAGGCACGATACCATACACTCCACTAGTTTAAAAATAAATTCACTCTTCCAACTGTTGGCAACCCCACCACCTGACAGTTCCCAACTTCTCGCATCTGTCTTCACTCCCAACGTTGGCGCGCCTGTTAAATAAAAAATGGCGATTAGTCAAAGTCAGATTACAGAACGAGTGTTGTGTCTTCGTGACTAAAATCCAATATTTCAGTAATAAAAGTGCGGTTTAAACTCGTAAATATATTAAAAAATAATTAAATACATATTTTAAAATATCGTAAGTGCAGTGTCTCAAATATTATGTGAAATGAAACAGTTTTGAAAGTGTTGTAATACCTAGGATTAATTTGGAAATGTCGTAGGTCAAGATTCTGAGGATAAAATGTAAGTTTAAATAATAATTGATACATAAAATAGTTGAATATTATGTGCATATGGTTACTTAAATATTGCTTGATTTTTTTATCATGTAAAAGTAAGTTTTGCTGTTTCAAGTACAAAATTTGCATATTTGCATAAATTTGTGCTATTTCTTAATCTGTTAACATTTTATAAGAGTTTATGGCTTAAATAATGTATTTGTGTATTATTTTTAGTTATAACTTGTTTTTGATATGCTGAAGGCTTATTTAGTGACATAACCTCAAATGTTACTGCAGTAACTTGTTACTTCCTAAATTTTGGCTCCGAAGGCTTTTGTAGGATTTATAAGTGCTACAGAAACAAATTTGTACTATTTTAATATGAAGATTTTATGGCTTAAATTATGCACTATTTTTAGTTATGACTTGATTTTAACTTTCTTTCAGTAAGATAACTTTTAAGGAGACTCTTTTAGTAAGGTAACTTTTAAGGAGGCTCTTTAAGTAACATAACCTTCAATGTTACTTCAGTAACTTGTTACTTCCTAAGTTTTGACTCCGAAGGGTTTTGTAGGATTCATCGATGTCCCAGGAACAAATTTATACTATTTCATTATCCTAAATTGTTACTGCAGTAACCCGTTACTTCTTAAATTTTGTCTCCGAAGACTTTTGTAGGATTCATGGGTATCCTGGTAACATATTCATACTATTTCTTTATACTAAAATGTTACTGCAGTAACTTGTTAGTTCCTACTTACTCATGGATGCCCTGGTAACATATTGATACTATTTCTTTATCGTAATGTGAAATGATATTAAGGCTTAAATGATGTATTTTTGAGCTGTTTTTAGTTATGACTTAAATATAACCTGAAATGTTACTCCAGTAACTTGTTGCTTCCTAAATTTTGGCTCCAAAGGCTTTTGTAGGATTCATTTATGCCCTGGTAACAAATTTATATTATTTTTTTAATATTCATGGCTTAAATTATGTGTTTTTTCTGATATTTTTATTTATGACTTATATATAACTTTCTGGAGGATTTTCCAGTAACATCATCGCAAATGTTACTACAGTAACTTGTTACATCCTGAATTGTGGCTTTGAAGACTTTTGTAGGATTCATTGATGCCACGGTAACAAATTTATACTATCTCTAGTAACCCGTTACTTCCTAAATTTTAGCTAGGATGGCTTTTGTAGGATTCATTGATACCCCAGGAACAAATTTATACTATTTCTTTATCCTAAAATGTTACTGCAGTAACTTGTTACTTCCTGAATTTTGGCTCCAAAGGCTTTTGTAGGATACATCTATGCCCTGGTAACAATTTTTTTCTAATATTTCTTAATCCATTAACATTTTAAAAGATTTTGTGGCTTGAATTACATGTTTTTGTTTTATTTTTAGTTATGACTTAAATATAAACCAAATGTTACAGCAGTAACTCATTACTTCCCAAACTTTGTCTCCGAAAGGCTTTTGTAAGATACATGGATGCCCCAGGAACGAATTTATACTATTTCATTATCCTAAATTGTTACTGCAGTAACCCGTTACTTCGTAAATTTTGGCTCCGAAGTCTTTTGTAGGATTCATAGATGTCCCAGGAACAAATTTATACTATTTCTTTATCCTAAAATCTTACTGCAGTAACTTGTGCAGTAACTGTGGTCTTTTATAGGATTCGTGGATGTCCTGGTAACAAATTTATACTATTTGAATAACTAATATTTAAATAAATATTGAGGCTTAAATCATATATAAGGAAATTTAAGGCTTAAATGATGCGTTTGCAAGATTCATGGTTGATCTGGTAAAAATTTCTCCCATTTCTTTATTTATTGACAATTTTAAGGCTTAAATGATGTATTATTGTTCTATTTTTATTTATGACTTGTTTTTAACTTGTAGGATTTTTTGGTAATGTTACTGGAGTAACTTGTTACTTCCTAAACTTTGGATTCGAATGCTTTTGTAGGATTGATAGATGCCCTGGTAACAAATTTTTACTATTTTTTTATTCAAAAGGTTTTATGGCCTAAATTATTCATTTTTACACTATTTTTGGTAATGACTTATATTTAACAACTTTAAATGTTACAACAGTAACTTGTTACTTCCTAAATTCTGGTTTCATAGGCTTTTGTAGGATTCATTGATTTTCTGGTAACAAATTTCTGCTACTTCTTTATTTATTATTTAATTTGCTGGAGGACTAACATTGAAGGTTATAAATATAACCTTCAATGTTAGTTCAGTAACTTGTTACTTCCTAAATTCTGGCTCCGAAGGCTTTTGTAGGATTGATAGGGTAACAAATCATGCCCTGGTAATAAATTTTTACTATTTCCTTATCTTTATTTAAGATTTTATGGTTTAAATTGTGTTTTTTGTGCTCGTTTTAGTCATGACTTATATTTAACATTCTGGAGGCTCTTTCAGTAACATAATCTCAAATG